CCCCCGTGTGCCCCCCACCCCGTGTGCCCCCCACCCCCGTGTGCCCCCCACCCCATTGAAATTGTGAAATGTACATGCACAAGGTTATCAGCTTTTGGTGCCCCCTCCCCCCGGAAAAAGTGCACACCCCTGATGTCCCTCAGAAAATTACCCTCGCTGGATCTCTAGCACCTCCCATGCTGCAGAGAAGTTGCAAGAAATTAGGCAAAGTAAACGGGCAATGTAAGGTGGGCTAAGCTTTGTACCTTTCTGCTGCTTAAGTGCTGGGACATCAATACAAAGTGTGACAAGGGATGAAGTTTCGAACATTCTTTTCACATTTTATCGCGCCAAAGTTCGAGAGCGGTGAATTGTCCACTTATTCGGAAGGTGAGCTTGAACTGGGTCTAGTCTCATCACAAATCATTTGCTGTGAGTCATGGATGGAGAAGGCTGATATAAAAAAGGGTTTATTTGAATGGAGACTTTGAACATTCCGTGTGAAAAACTCTCATCTTTACCGCTGCACAGGCCGATTGCATCTTGATCGTTGGCATCGCCGGAAATGACCCCAACCAGGTTGGCGATGTCGAGAAGCAAATCGAGAGCTCGGCCGTCCGTGCCCAGAAGGAGCTTATCCTCCTCCATCGGGAGAAGGACGGGGCCTACTCCCCGCCCGAGCGGACGGCTGAGTGGCTGAATGCCCGGGGCTGGTGCGTCTCCCACCACCACATCCGCTGTCCCAAGCGCATGTTCAGCAAGCGCTCGCCGGCCAAAGTACGGGAGACCTATGAGCGGCTGTTTGAGAAGGCGCCCGTCCGCACCTCAGACTTCTCCCGGCTGGCCCGGTTTCTGACGGGGACCTCCTTTGGGCTGGTCTTGGGAGGAGGCGGAGCAAGGTAAGATGGTGGAAGGGGGACACTGATTGTCCTCAAACGGTGGCAAAGAGAAATGCCAAGTTTACATTTGAATGCTGCACCCAACTGAGGACTTGTCTGGTTTTGACCCTTCAGACCATGTGGTTTTACACCCAATGTAGACAAACGTACGCCTGCATGCAGGCTATCACCCAATTCCATTGTTACCGATAGATAATGAAGCAGTGTCGTCGAGTCCATCACAAGTCCTTTCGAGTCTACCAAAAGTCCATCACAAGTCATCCAGTGGCAAGTCAAACCAAATCCCAAGCATTTCAAAGGAACGACGACAGAAGTGTTCCTTTGTCATCGGTCAACTTGTCCTTAGTGACTTCCCTCATTCATAGTTGATGCACACTGGTCAGCACTGGAGTTGCATCTCAGAAGTGTGTCCGCAAGTCCAGTGACAACTCGTCTAAAGACCAGTCGCAAGTATCAGGGTGGACGATGACAAGCCAATGCTTTTGCCACTGTTCTTTGTGACTTGGCTCAAGACTGTATGGCTTGCGATGGGCTTACAGATACTTGTGATGGGCTCCACTACAACACTCCGACAGGCTGTCATCTTTCCATCGTTCTCCACGTACTGTCCTCTCTCTCTCTCTGCAGAGGCATGTCTCAGATCGGCATCATGCAGGCCATGGAGGAGGCGGGCATTCCCATCGACATGGTGGGCGGCACCAGCATTGGGGCCTTCACTGGCGCCCTGTACTGCGAGGAAGGCCGAGTGCAAGGCATCCAGGCCCGGGCGTTCAAGTGGTGCAGGGACATGGGCACGCTGTGGCCCAAGATCACTGACCTCACCTACCCTTTCACCGCCATGTTCACAGGTAATCGGATCGCTCGATATGGTTGACATAGCCAAATTGAGACTGGTAAGCCATGAGCAGATTAAATAGCTGAGGCGAGCCATCCTACATCCACCCATTTTGAGAATGGTCTTTGCAGCATTTAATGCTGTGTCCGAAATGGGCTTTAAGAGCTATGGCTATGTCTATTGTCTGCGCATTTTGCGTATTTCCAATGGAGCGAAGACCTAGACCCAGCTCTAGACAATAGAGCACAGTCTAAGCTACCCATAGACCTCTTTCATGGGGCAGCCATCTTGCTTTTCTACCATTCAAAGCAATGTAACCAAACCGAGGCTGGACAGAAAAACAGTCTGATCCCTTTTATCAATATGTGAAGTTGTATCACTATTGCCAGTGGGTCCACAGGGAACAAGACAAATATGGCAGCATCACAATAAAGTCTATTCTCTGTGTGGGTCTGCTCAGGTCGGGCTTTCAACATGAGCATACGGGACACCTTCCAGGATAAACTGATTGAAGACCTCTGGATTCCGTACTTCAACATCACGACTGACATCACCGACTCCAAGATGAGAGTCCATACCAGTGGTAAGGCACCGATAAAAACAGTGACAGTAATAATCACGGATCTTTACGAAACGCATGCATCCAACATTCATGAGTTCAAGGCGTGACACTGTTTCCCCACTCACTGGTCCAAATGACATTTCTAAAACCACCCCAATTCCCTGGGGATTACACATCTCAGTGTTTCCATTTCTGGCACAAGCAGCTTATCAACATAAGTGGCATTCTTTACCCTCAAGGGTACCCATCTTGTACCCCTGGTCGCAGAAAGCGACCTAATGGGAGTAAAGTGACTTGCCCAAGGGCGCAACACGTGACCAGCTGTTGGTTCCAAACCGCTGACATTATGTCGAGCGATTGCAAACCCTAACCTCAAGGCCACTACCTCCACTCGAGTACAGTTGTCTCCAACCTCTCCTGGCTTTCGTAATTCATATGGAGTGGCAGTTGAGAATTTTCCACTCCCATATTCTCAACATCTCAGGCAAATTGGGTCATCTTGGTCCCCAACTAGGCTGACAGGAAAATTGTAGTCTTTCCTCTTCAACATGACGGCAGCCACTCTATTTGGGGTTTTGAGCATTCAAGCTTGGTAGGGATCATCCCATGTTGAGAATGACTTTTACTGTCAAGCTTCAACTATCAAGACATTGGGGTCTTGGTTATTCAATCTTGTCGTGGATCCGTTTCTTTGCGTGAATGTCACAGGTTCTCTGTGGAGGTACACCAGGGCCAGTATGTCCCTGTCTGGTTACCTTCCCCCGCTCTGCGACCCTAAGGACGGACACCTACTGCTAGACGGCGGATATGTCAACAACGTACCAGGTGTGCAATGAATAATTGCTTGACTCTAAATCTGACGAATAGAATCCAAGCCAGAAGGAACTGTCCTCATTCTGTCACTTACGTTTGAATTCCTCATATTTTTTTGTCAAACAAATAAACCCTTTTTAAAGAAAAAATTTCACTGAAGTAGTATGATTTTTAAATTTGAAAATAAGATTAAAATTTTTGAACAGAAAGATAACAATGTCACGTGAGAACTGAAAATTGTCAGGCCAGACTGTTTGAAGAGCTGTTGATGTTATTGTGAAGACTTTGTCGTTGGGTTTTGTGTAATTACAACTTATGCACCGTTCAAATAAACAGAAGAGTCGTTACCGTTTTTGTTAAGAAATAGAAAATATTCTTTCTTTTCCAAAAATATACTTGCCTTGAATATACTTGTCTTGACACCTTTTCTTTTCTGTAAGTGAGTTTATTTGGGTTAACTCATTGCTTTCTGAATTGTTTGTCTGGTATAGCGGATGTCATGCGTTCCCTTGGAGCGCAGACGGTCATCGCTGTGGACGTTGGCAGCGAGGATGACTCGCAGCTCACCAACTACGGCGATGACCTCTCCGGATGGTGGTTGCTGTGGAAACGTTGGAACCCCTGGGCTAGCCATGTCAGGGTATGCACAACTCCTTTGATGACAAACTCTAGACACCTCTGACGAGGAAACTTTCTGACTCCTCCAAAAACCTTGTACCATTCGGAAACGTTATGTCACATTCTTTAAACTTAACTCATCAGAGACCATCGTGACGGCGTGACATCGGTTGCAACGGTTGCTGGTTTAACGCATTAACACAAGTCAGCCAAAACGCCCATTGTAGAAGCATGAAGAGAGTGTTGGACGAACCATTACTTTGGCAACTGACACAAGATGACATGTTCATTATGGCTCTCCATAGTGGCTGCATCTAAAAGTGATGTGCCAAGTCTCAGCCTGGTCATCGTTTCTTGAGTCTGCCTGATGTTTAACCTCCCGACCTTGGACATTCTAATAGACAAAACATTTCTCACTGAAGCAGCATCAAACCGTGTGCTTTCAACTGAACACAGATATATTTTCATTTTTTTTTTTAACATTATCGGTCCATGAGTGGTTTAAATGTCCGAAATGTCGCCTGAGGTATGGACGAGACCAAGATTCGATGAAGACAAATCTCTTTTTTTGGGGGGGTTGGGGATCTGACAGGTGTTAGACATGAGCGAGATCCAGAGTCGGCTGGCCTACGTGTCCTGTATGAAGCAACTGGAAGAGGTCAAGAACAGCAGCTACTGTCAGTACATAAGACCTCCCATCAACAGGTAAGAGGCAGACCTGTGTCCGGTTCGTAAGTGACTTTGTCGCCATGGCGGATGCGCCACGATTTGCAGGCTCTCGTTGGACAGTCGCTGAAGTTGCGCGTTAATTTCCGGTTCCGTGGTTCCTTGTAAATGGCGATCAAAGCATGTAACCCTATGAACAGTGCACGTGTGCAGTGGGCGTGGTTTAAACTAATGTGACGTCACACTTACGAACCGGATATAGAGAGAGTTGTGTCAACTTGCCGGCTTTGGAACCAAAATGGTGGTTTGTTATGTGTGCAGTGCAGCATGTAGCTATATGTGCTCATTGTCTATGTGTACTGACATATAATCCACCATTTTGGTTCCAACAATTGAGACGCTCATGTCGCAGCTCTCTATAAACAGCTCTGGGTTGGGGCAAGTTGGGGCGACCACTGTCCTTTGACCTTCGGCCAGTTTTTCTCCGGTATCCTGGTTAAATTGTGTGCACAGTTTACCAGGGAAAATTGAGTAGTGTTCGAGCAGTGCCAAAGGATGCCCAGGCCAGGGAAACGTTTTGGATGGATGGTTGAATAAGCGACTGCAATAAAGAAAACGTCTGCGCAGGCAAGGGTGTTTGATCACATGAAAGAAATATCCCAAAAGCTTTAGAGTGATTCTGTTCCTTTCAAATATGGTTCCACTCAAAGCTAGCAGGGTTTTTAGTGCATTCCTTCTGCGGACTGGGCTTTTTTTTCTGAGATGGCATGCACTGCCGTTCCCAGAATAATCTGAGTGGAAACAGCAGATTATCTTAAATTGAACCTGTTGACACTTCTATTTGACAGGGGTGTGGTTTCTCAGGATTTTTTTTTCAGATTTCAGGACTTTTGACAAAGCGCAGGAGTCGTAGAGATTTGCTCATTCAGGTGTTGCCTCATTTTTGCTAATTGTACAAAAACCCAGAAGCATTTTCCACATAATAAGCCAATGGAAGGATCACTCTGGTGTCATTTGCTGTCAAATGCCATGAAAAAGTCTCACTGGTTTTTTTTTGGGGGGGCCTGCTAATTGCTCTGTAGATTTTTGTTCCTCTGCCAATCTCATCCCTGATTTGAACTTCTCAAGAACTCCACGTTTTTATACTCATCTCTCAGTGAACTGTTCACTCATCAGCAAAGAAATACTCCTCAAATACGATCTCAGACGCCAGTTCTTTTCAGACGATAAACCCCCCGAAAGTGAGACTTAATCTTCCTCGCCAACCACTTGACCCCAGATACAAGACCATGCACTTCCATAAGTACCAAGACCTGTGCGACATTGGCTACCATCATGGGGAGACGGTGTTTGAGGGTTGGAAGAAGAGCAAGTACCTGGACGAGCTCTTCAAGGAGAAACGGGACAACCAGCGCAGGCGTGGCGACCAGCAGCAGGTGGGTGGCAGTGACAACTCACCGGGCCAAAGCCTCTGGTCAAGGTGATCGCTGCAGTCACTGAACTTTGGTCCACGTGCGGCAATGCCCACTGCTCCAGATGAGACGAGAAGGCGATTTGTATCTCCTAATCACAGTCTGAATCAGCTGCACTGACCGTTGGTGTAATTACCAGGGGGAGGGGTGACGTGTGCCCCCAGCAGAGGTGCATCTCCCATGCCCCCATTTGAAATTCTGATATGTGCACGAACCCGTGTACCAGACCCAGTTGAGTGACTTTTGATGCCCCCTGAAAAAAATGTGCGAGCGGCCCCCAGATATTTCGCCATTGGCAGGGACTGCCTTTACCAACTCCTTTTTGGGGGGTTTGTGATTTCCTTTATTGTTGTTATCTCGATAAAGTTTGATTCAACTTTGTTGCGATCTTGGTATGCAGACTGTTGGACAAATGCCACGCTTCACTGACTTGGCTGCGATGGTGTCCCGGTTGAATGCACCGCAGTGGGCAATGTTTCATCAAGGTAGGTTGGCCACTGGGCTCATGGATTTCTTGGATAGGATTAGAGCAGCTTATGTGTTCACTGCGTTTGAGAAAACTTCGGCAAATGTAATTAGCATGACGGGCATGGTTGATGTTTCTAAACCCTCTCAAATCCGTCAGAAATTCGCTTAGAGATTTTGGAAATCTCAGTGAAAATGAGGAAGATTCCCAACAGTGTTTGCTTAACCCCTTCACGGCGGGATTATTTTGACCGTAACTGCTGGGCTGTGGTATGCCCTGAATGGAGGGCTTTGTCCAGCAGCAGGCCCCATTGAACCAGCAACTGCATGGTCAATAGACATCTTTCACCATCTTGGTGAAAGATGTATGGACGAAATAGAAAGGGTTGCTTGTTTCTTGTAAAAAGAAATTTACTGGTTGTCAAAAGCATACCCTGTTGAACTGTCAAAACTTTCCTAGTCCCGGAACCATCCCAATCTCACTCGCATTTTTTCCTTCTGATGATCTTGAACAGAAGATGTCGACCACACAGATTCGGCCACACTCTGGCGGCTGGAGAGCCGCGTGGCCAGCGACCTGCCTGAGGGGATGGACCCCAACCGCCACAGCCTGTCCAGCGAGGAGATCGAGGTTGAGGAGTCAGAGTCCGACATCTCGCCCCTGCAGGTCTCCGGCGTCCTGATGAGCGACGGGTTACGGCAGCGCAAGCCGGGCCCCAACGTCTCGGCGGCGGTGGACGACGAGGGTGAAGACGAAGACGAGAACTAAGATGGCTCATTGAATACATACTGATTCTGTGTGTACCTCATTTATAGCTTGCATCTTGTCAGAACAACAAACACATCTTGGGGACAACAAATGCAGCCATCTTGAGGGAACGAAAGCAGCCATCTTGGGGGAACAAAAGTAGCCATCATGGGGAAACAAAACCACTGCCCCCGTAAGGTGATCATGATGCCACTGAACACTTTTCCAGTATTGTACACATACACAGTATAACTCAAAATCTGGTGTAATAGGGTGCGCTGGGCTTGCCAAGTATATGTATGCCCAACAAGTAAGCTTAGCAGAGCATGCAACACGACCATAACCCTGAAAATACCTTGATCCCCCAATTTTAGAGAATTTCAGACTGCAGTGGCATCTGTTCGGAACGCTTGAAAGGACGATGTACCTACGGCACTGGTGGGCTCTGCCTCTGTTGAGGGCTTTTTGTACATTCTGAGTAACGTAGAATGAACAGAGTGGCCATGCCGCTTTTAATGGGGGGGGGAACTCGTCCCTCTACAAAATGTCCACTGTAAAAAAGGCAGTCACAGGTGAAGAAGAGGAGATTGCTACATCCTTAACCCTAACACTCCTCAATCCTCCAACAGGTGAAGGATTGACGAGGGTTAGGGTTAACATACATCCACAGGTCACGCCGGTGAGCCAATCTCCCAAGGTTCACATTCAGAGCGTACCATGATGTGTATATAATTTCACGTTCCCAAAATCTGGGTCAGAAGGAATGTTTTAAGGTGATTTAGACCTTTAGATTTGTAAAAACTGCAGCCTCGTTATTCTTAGAATGAGGAAGAGTCCTGTTATTGAGACATTTCAAAAGTAAAGAATTTTAACCCTTCATCCTTGGCATCGTGCGCAACGATGTAGGCCTCACAACACCCCCACGCTTCCAGTGGAACAGTCTCAATATGACAGTGCAATTAAGTTTGGAAGAAGAATGCGAGAAAGATATTGTAGTTAAATGATCCAAACTACAAACTATTGTTTGAACACACTGACTTGTACAGGCGGTTTGGAGGATTTAAAGTTTTGTTTGGGGAAATAAGGGAGATTGTTTTGTTTGCTTAGTTTAATGAGAAAAGATTACATCTTGAGGGTGATGACTTTAAATGGTTATTTAATTTGGCACTCTGTCCATTTCAAGAGTCATTCTACTCTCTTCCTGGGCTTTTTTAAAAAAATTATTTTTGATGTTTTCTCACCGATGTAGAATGTAAAGGGTTTTTCTTACAGGTAACAAATTATTTTTCAAAGTTGGTGTCAAGTTTTATTTGAAAGGTAACGTCCTGAAATCTATGACCTAGACATGGTTTGCTACGCACTGAAAACTTCAGAACTCCTCTCCAGCAAGGAACATATTATTGAGCACGGAAATTGGGCATTAAATTTGTAGCACGTCATTCATTTTGTCACATGCCAAACAATGCAATTATAACATTATTTTGCTGTGCAAGTGTTTGGAAATGTTTGTTGTAGATTGTACAAAAAAAAGTGTGTGCTTTTCCCTGTTGTGTATCACACCTTACCCAGCAGTTTATTTGAAATACATTTAAGCTTAAAATGTCCAGATAATTTGGAAACAGCACAACAAAGATTTAGAATTTTTAAGTGAAGTGGACCAGCAGGTTTAAAGCCTTAATAGTGAGTTCGTTTAGATGTAATATTTTGTTAAACAGGGTTAATTTAAAATGTTCGTAAAAATGGAACATGGAGTCAACCAAAAATGAAAATTGTGTCCCAGTATTCGATGGAGCCATCAATATTGCCTCTCGCAAAAATAGGGAAGGGAAAAAAGAGGCATTTACTGTACGTAACTTTGGAATTTCTTTCAATCATTGACCAATCAGAGTGAGCCCAGCTGAGCATGTCAATATAACGATGTTGTATTTTACCCCCGTGTTGTAATAGAGATATAAAAGTACTTCACGAGCTTGGCATAATACAGACGTCCTGATAAATTTCCTAAAATAAGATTCAAATTATTCAACTCAAAAGCTGTTCTGTATTTGTCTCGAATTATATATTGATTAACTTTTCTGGTTTCAAATATAAATTCTTTATTGCCAAATTGCCTTCACTTGTTCAAAAGTCAGTTTAATATGAGGACGGTTATGATTTCCAGTTTGTGTGGATCTTCTTAAGTGTGTGCGATAATTTGACGTTTGAATGAAGTTTTGATTTGTTAACAAAGGAAGAATATATACAAATATATATAAATGTTTCAGTGAAGGGGTTTTAATATACCCACTTTAAATGCTGTGTTGAATTGCACATTGGTGGCTGTTTACTGGAGCAATCATAGACACAATAAACAAGTGTTTATTGAGTTTGAGTGACAATTTGTGTGTTGCTGTCAGCTTTTTTATCTTTTTGTCGAAGTTTTGTTGGAAGGTTGTGAAGCGGGTTGTGGTTTTAGACGAAAAATGAAACATTGGGGAGTTCAGTTTATGCATGGAGTCTACCTCCATGGTTTATGGTTATTCCTCGTCAGTTCGTTACACAAATTGAGAAAAGAAAGCCAATTGTACGGAAACTGACTTTTCCAGCAATTATAGAAAAATTATTCGATTTGTTAGGGGGCCGGGATGTGACGATTTTTTACAGGACATGAGTTCCGACAAAGCAGCCCCACCAGTCATGACAGTGTCGCTGGTTAACAAGTACGCATTTCTCGCTGAGGGCGGTGGGAAACACGGGTTACCAACCAAATTGCAGACGACGCGGAGTTTGACCCAAGGAAAACGACTTCGATGGCGACGTTCAACTTCAAGAAAAAGCACTTTCGACGTCGGAGGAAATCTTCCTCAGATGATGAAGAGGGAAACAAACCCGAGGACGTGAGGTTTGTTTTTCTGTAAAAGATTTCGGTTCCGTTGGTTGTACTTTCAGAACCTTACAAATGATTTCTTGTAAAAACATGTCGTCAAAAAATACACACAAGGAAGTGTATTGACCAGTTCCGATATTGAGAAAAAGTTTTGGATCTTCGTTTTCGTCATTTTCGGCTTCTATAAATTGTCTTGCAGGACCATATTGGAGGAGACCAGAGAAGCTCAGAAATTCAGACAAAGGCAACATGGTGTCAGGTATTTGGGCATTAAACATGATGTTGAATTAATGTCTCAAAAAGGAATAGGCCTAGGCTACTTCGAGATCTAAGTCACTAACTCTGTGATACTCCATGTGACTTAGAGGAGACAAGGTTTACATGGCGTCGTAATGCTATGGGGTTTGGAAACGACATTTTGTGGTGAAATGGTTCACAGCCGTAAGAAAGAAAGTATTAGGCCTAAATCAAATGTTCCCCTGTCAGCAAACCTGCTTAAGCTATACCTCCTAAAAGGGATAACAAAAGTTTCAGAGCATGAGACAGAGTATTTTTGAAAAAAAATGAAATTTTTGTTTACCAATTTCTCGCTTCCAACCGTTGACTGGCGCTCCGTTCATGCCATTCGTGTTTATCAGACTGCACACGTGCTGAGCCCACCAGTGACTGCGCTTGATCTGCATCTTGGCTCGACCATTTTCGGTGGCGGGGAATAACATCACACATGGCGCAGCACGTCGCGCGTCTCGCCTGATGTGTATTTCTAGGTCACAGCAGCAGCTTGGATGGTCCCAAGATGAAAGCAACACAAGATGTCATCTCCCGCCACCGAAAATGGTCGAGCCAAGATGCAGAGCAAGCGCGGTCATTGGTTGGCTCAATGCATGCGCAGTCTGATAAACACGAATGGAGTGACAGTCAATGGGTGGAAGTGAGAAATTGGTGAGCAAAAATCTCATTTTTTTCCAAAAATACTCTGTCTCATGCTCTGAAACTTTTGTTATCCCATTTTTAGAAGGTATACATTAAGCAGGTTTGCTGACAGGGGAAAATTTGATTTAATAGCTTTCTTAATTACGGCTGTGAACCATTTCAACACAAAAAGTCGATTCCAAAACCCCATAGCGTTACAACGCCATGTAAACCTTGTCTCCTCTAGGTCACATGGAGTATCACGGAGTTAGAGACTTAGAGTTCTGGAAGTAGGCCTAGGCTAAATAAAAAATAGGCCTAACGTTAGATTGAAACAGTGGATGTAGATCTCTCTCATAGGACAACTGCGTAAGAAAATTACAACTGGGTAGTCAGCATCATTAGGTGCGTAATGTGCAAAGTGTTCTTTACATGCACATGTGTTGAGCTAGCTAAATGCCCTGGAAATACGGCACTGCCAATGCAATGGCAGAGAGATTTGACGTTCAAAATGACAAGAATGCATGTGGCAATCTGTAGGAAGTAATGTCATATGAGAGAGATTATTGGACCGTGAACTGGTCCTGCCGACAATAGCTGATATAGTGATATGGCTTTGCTGTTTTACCAGCTTGGCAACCGAACAAGCACAATAAGTGATATAGGATTAGGAGACTAAGCTTAGACATTTTACTGTGATAACTTTTCACCTGGTTCCTTGCCTATAGAGTACCGATGTGTGACATCATTTTGAGCCAGGAAGTACATGTGTACAGTGCAAACGAATCAGGTGTGCCCTAGCCCAGGTTGGACGTCGTCTACATTGCATTGTAAATGAAGACAATGTCCAACCTGGGCTAAGGTGGGCCCATGTGTTGGTTCGTGCACTGGTTCTGGCACTAATGCCTAAGTTGAAGGTTTCAAGTCCCCAACAAACACTCACTGTGCATGACCAATCCCGTGCTGGTTAGAAAAACAGTCCTGTATCCACTGCCTTAAATTTATATATATATATATGTATTTTTCTCAATTCTCTTGCATATTCAGCATGAATGTATTACTATTCAATGCCACGTGGCAGCTATATGCATCTGAGTATCTGAGCCTCTCCGGTTCTTATCAGAACCACACCAG